GATGAAGTTACCGGTGGCTCCAATGTCGAGGAGGGCCCGGAACTTAGTTGTAGACGCACCAAGGGTGGCAGCGATGAATTTGAGGTGGAAACGAGATGAGTTGGCGGTGGAGATGATGGTGTTGAGGCGGCGTTGTTCGTTGCCTAAGCGGACAAGCCGATCGTGTCGGGCTTGTTCCTCAACAACATCGGAGAAGGTGATAGTGGATGCATTTGGAGGAAGGGTAGAGGAGGATGAGGCAGTGGGAGGTGTTTGCGATGCCTGGGAATCGTCCGGTGGAGGGGGCGTCGCCGGAGAGGGGGAAGGCAAACGAATTGTCGATGTCAGATGGGCCATCGGTGCGACGAAGGATGTCATTGATGGGTAGGCTGACATATGCAATGTTGATGTCGGGTCGGTGTCCTGGGGACTGTGTTCATGATGAGGAGGGGCCCGCGCTTGCCGAGGGCGGTGATGCGGAGGTTGCGGGTCGCGTGGGGGCGGACTGACGGGTGAATCGTGCGGCGTTGGGGCAGTTGGTTTGTTGGTGCCCCAATTGGCGACAACGGAAGCAACCCCCTTTTGCTTGGAGGTAGGTGCGCTCCTCGGAGGTGAGTTTCTTGAGGCGGGAGGGTGGGGTAGATGAGGGTGGTCAGGAGCTGCGATCTCTGCGCTCCATTCTCATGAACTGGACGACATCGAGTTCCTCGGAAGTGAGGGATGAAGAGTCGAGTGAATCGAAAGATGGGTCGGGGTCAGATGTGGTGAACTCGTCTGAGGAAGTGATGGAGGTGGTGTCTTCGGGGGTGATGTGGTGGAAAAAGCGGGTGCGGGAGTTGCCGGGGGGGGCCTGGTGGTGGGGGTGGAGGAGTCGATCGTGGTGGAGCATGCGAGAGAGGAGGTCAGCAAGGGGCATGTCGGGTTCGTGGGCGAGGGCGGTTGGAAGGTCTTTGTGGCATACTCGTTTGATGCGGGAGATGAACGCACAGTCAGGAATGACGGTGTGGGGGAGGTGGTGTCGGAGGGAGCGGACGTATTGGACGAAGCGGTCCGTGGGACTGGTCTGGCGGAGGTGGCGAAATTGTTCAAGGTAGTCGTCAATGGTTTTTTGGGGGCGGAAGGTGGCAGTGAGGAGGGTGGCCCATTGGAGGAAGGTGGGGCGTGGTCCTCCGGAGGCTCGGCGGTTGCTAGCTTCAGCCATCCACCATTTGGCWGCATTGCCGAGGAGGCGGGAGGTGGCAATGGGGAGCCAGTGGGCAAGGGGCATGTGGTGGAGCTGAAAAGAGTTCTGAAGCTGGGTTGGGAAGAGGAAAACGTCCTTGTGGGGGAGGCCGGAGAAGGACATGATTTCGCCAGATCGGAAGGAACGGGGGATTTCCCCGTCGCGGTGAACGATCAGCGCGAGGGTGTTGAAGCTGAGGTTATCGGGGGTGGTGTCGTAGCAGGTGTGGTCGATTTGGTTGTTGTCCTCAAGGAGGTAGTTGGG